TTTTTACATTTATTTCAAATAAAATATATTGTAATTTAAAAATTGCCAGTGAACTGAGTGTTTTTTTTTTTAAATCCCTCATGGAAATGTTTTAGGATGCTGTGTCATATACATGTATAATAAACTTATATGTTTGCTTAGTTATCAATGTAACATATACTTTCACTTTGTTTAAATATATCCACAGTTGACGTTGGACTTTGTTTGAGTGTTCTGACTGTATTAGATTAGTATGTTAGAAATACAAAGGAATACTAGTATATTGAATATAAGAAACGTCTTGTTTGAAACATGAAATTCATTTAATAATATCAGGGTGAATTATTTTGTACATGTGATTTGAAAGGGCATTATCAGTTATTTTTGTTCATGAAAAAGTTGAATTCCGTATTTTTTATCTTTTACCTGTTACTTTATTTATTAGCAAATATTATTATATTATTATTAATTATTAATTTTTTTTTTACTCCAAGGGTTGTATTAGACTAGAAAGCTAATTGTTAACGAACTTGAAATATACAAAAAGTGAACACTTACAACAAACACAATATGAATATCAGGGATAAACGTTCCTAACAGATTATATGTAGAAACTTTTTAAAGTCAGTGAGTGTGCATGTTTAAAATATGGAAAAATGTTTATCGAAAATTCCAACTGAACACTGTGAACTATAATATTCGTATATTTTAATTAAGAGAATTAGCAGCGGAAACCATACAGGTAGGGGTAAATTTAGTGCTGGCTGCTGAACAAAATACTTATTAAGACTTGGAAACGCAGGGTATACCAAAGCGAAAGATTTTGCCTAATTTTATATCAGTTTATGTAAATGTATGAACTTGAATGCAGAAACGTGTACTTTCCCCCTCCTCTCCCACCCCTTGTTTATTTTATCAGATTGGACGACTTTCTTTGATCAATCGAAAACCCATATAGTCTTTGTACAGTGTACTGTCGTGTTTCTACTTACGATACAAGAATCTCCATTCATATTCAAAAACGCATTGTTTTTCTTTTGTTTCTATTTTAATTGAGACGTATGCTAAAGGAGAAAGTCTGCTTATATACAATGACTTCAAACTTCTGTGTTATTTTTCATTTGTGGCATTATATATTTTTTTTTTACACAACGTATTTCTTTACACTGTATACCTGTAAATTAGCAATATTTTATAGTAGTTTACAGCTTTGATGAATAAAATGTTAAGAAAAAGTTTTTGATTGTATTTTTTTTTTTTGGATGTTTTTTATGGTTTGTGTATTTTAAAAGTATCACCTTTGACAGCAATTATCTAGCACGGTTCTGCGGATGCTATATTGTGCTATATTGTCGATAGGGAGATATTTTAAGTTGGGTTTAAATTGAATGCTGTTTAGAGTCTACGGAAATAACAAGTACAAGACTAGTGATGAAGCTTGGGTACACTACAGGGGATCTGAGATATAAAATCAAAATATAAGGTCATCATTAAAAATATCTTTGTTTCCCCTAACCCGACCCTAAAATCTCAAGTTGGGTAGGTAGGTAGGTAAATTATTTTTTTTTTCTGACAGCAGCTTTGAAAATACGTTATGAATGAAAATCTATTATATGTCTCTGTTAAACCTCAGTCTGTTATGGGCGCCATTTTGTTTCCAATAAACGCTTGAAAATCACAGAAGAACAAAATCGGCCGTTCTGATAAAAACGGATCTTGATGAAATTGTATTTTCATTGATAAATATTAAAAAAAAATATATATAGAAATAATCGTATTAAAAAATCTTTTCAGTCGGCGCAATTTAATTGGGTCGGTCGCGTTAGGGGAAACAAAGGTATTTTTTATTTTGGCCTAAATATACCTATGTTAATTATGGAACCCGGATATATAGAGCCAGAAGTTCGATTACGCGATGATGGTGCTGCGATAGTGCGACGACGATGATACTACGGCACGATAATGCAATGACGATGGTGCGATAGAGAACATCGCTTCATCGCCATCGTACCATCGCGCCATCGTTATTGCACCATTGCGTCATTGAGATCGTATCATCGCAACGTCTCGCTGTCGCTCCAACGTGTCATCCCACCTACCTAATCGCATTATCGCTTCATCATCATCGCACCATCGCATCATCGTACCTTCGTCCTCGTGTCATCGTGCCATCAACCCAAACCTCGATGGCGCGTTGGTGCGATAGTGAACTACGTGACTCTATCATGTTAATCAAATATACATTAAATGAAAATGGAAACAGGAATACAAATGTAGAAAGTGCATGAATATGAACAGAAATGGAGAGGATAATTTAGCTTTCTTTAACGCTGAAGGCTTTTAAAATAAACTTTTCGACAATTTCTTTTTATAAAGAAAGCACATTTACATTGGTTTACATTAAAACAAACTTACAGACTCGGCACGACATGTAGTTTGAATATAAAAGAGAGTGTTTTATATTCTTTTTAAGGAACAAAAAAGAGAAAACAGACTGGGATGATTTAAAATCCTCCCTACAACAGTGGGTGGGAAATACTAGTAACACTTTCTGTGAAAGTGCCCCAATGAAGTGGATTGAAATATTCATCTATAGCAGGATGGGACCACGGTAGAATTTAAATGGAATAAGAGCGAAATCTCTTAATATTTACTTCTTAAAAGCAAGTATTAGTATTTAATTGTATTTTTTGACAGCTCGATTGAATGCAAGAAACTGAAAAAATATCATCTTGTTTGTCGTTTGTTCTTCTGATTAAGGACATACTTAGAAAAATCTTGTTGTAGAAATCTGTAAAACAATTTGTACAGGCCTCATCATTGCTTTATCACATTTATCATGAAATTTCCCCATCAAACAAGACATTTTTTCATTCTCCCAAAATCTATACTTTTATATTCATATAGAAATTCAAAGCACATCAAAAAAAAAAAAATGAAATCACCCAAAATACAATTTTACTCTGATTTTACCATATAACAAATTTATTTGGACTTAATGTGATCAAATACCCATTTTTTCCGGATTTTTGGTATCCTATGACCTTAAATGCAAAGGAAAAATTGTTTGATGATGGAAGTAGACTGAATAATCCAAGGCTGATGAAATACGAAATAATTAATTATCCCAGTTTTAATAGGGCTTATAAAACACAAAGTATAACGACGGCTGATGAAATGCTTTGAAGTATATCGACGGCTGATGAAACACTACATCAACACATGTACGTAGTCCCCTACATGATGAAATTATGATGGTATGAACAGAATAAACGGATTGAAGGAATCAGAAATGATAAAGTCATCATTGTCACGTTCCTTCTCAGGTAATTACAGGTTTGTCATATTACAATATGTATATAGCTTGATTAAAATTTCATTTTATTGGCAAGAAAATTAAATCGTTATGAAATCGAAAAAGACCGAAATATGTACTTAAAAGAGGTATTGACCACAATTGTCTTTCAGTTGTATCTATTAAGTTCATGATCGAATTCATTTGTGTTATTTAAAACACTTATGTTTTCTCTCATCAGATTGTAATATAAACGAATAACGGTAATAAAAGCCGAATTTCTTTCCCTTAATAAGAGCACATTGGATAAAGAAAAAAAATCAGTGGGTCTCAAAAGAAAAGTCATCGTTGGTAACCCACAGGTGATTCACATCGATTCTCTGTTTGGGGGAGTTTGTGGATTTGCGATGATAAGGAAAAGCTGAGTGCATAAGAATCTTGGAAGCAATACTCTAAACATGTTACATGTACTAAACCTATAATCTTATTTGGCGCACTGCGTTCCATATCGTTAATATTTGGAACGTTGATCACTATAAAAAGTAGAGGAAAATTGCATATAAGGCTACCTTTGGAATCCTAGACGTTTTGCCATATGAATCAATTTTTCTCTTAATTAAAACAAATATTGAAAAAGATTCAGAATACATGTATTTATTAATTAACGATTCAGGGTATTCATTAATTAAACATTCCTAGGTCCTGGTAATAAAGTATATAATTATTCAGAGAAGATAGTGCGTATCTGATACAGGTTGTGTAAAAGGACAATTTATGAACATGCGACCAAATGATTTTGATAAATAAAATCAATGAAAAAAATCTGATATTGCTATGTCTGTTTAGGTCATGCCTGTAATTTTTTCATAAAAAAGTTTTGCTTTCATAACTTAAAAAAAATCATTTATTGAAGTATATTTTTATATACATTTAGTGAAAGATTGGGTGGTAGAACTGTATCCAATAATTCTCAAAGTATACGATCCATCATAATTAAAGAGTTATTCTTGGAATTGTGTTGAATACATGCGTAGGCCAATTCGATAATTACTGGATTTTTGCAAAAGTTCCTACTCTACCACTCGATAGCTGTATCTAGTATTAATTTTGAAATCATATTGTATAAGAGTAGTAATCATTGTATGATTATATCCATCGCATGTTGTCAAGTCAACAAAGCGTACTGTTTATGTGATGATATACTTCTTAGCTACAGTAAAAAGATCAAATCCAATACAATTGATGAAGGTCAACTGTACAGTTAAAATAAAAACGAATGAATGAATAAAATAGATTCTAATATAAGATCAAATATTAAAATTAATTTACAATATTTTCTCCAAGCGTGCAAGGTCTATTTTCACACTCCGTTTCACATTTTACATAAAAAGGTTGATGACATTTGTGTATATAGCAGAACTCTTCGCATTTTGATGAAAGAATAGGTTCAAAGGTCGTGGATTCATGGGGATCTAATTTCAGTCCTTTCTGATCACGATTTGCCTTAATACATCCAATGAAAGGTATGAAGGGGTTATTTTTACAAGCTCAAAATTATGTTTCTATCTGCCAAAACTTGAATAATTGTTTTTTTAAAAAAGTCAATGACACTACCGTTATTTGTTGTATCCCTAAAGTCGCCTCAAATTCTTGGGCAAAATCTAGAACTCTACTCTCTATATATTTATTACTTCGTAAAAAAACTGACATTTTTGTGTAGATCGTTTGTAATGATGGAGGCTGGCGATAGAAACATATCACAGAGATTCGTCGTGTTTGATGGCATGCATTTACCGCCATTTGTACCTCTAATGAAAGATGCAAAGAAAAGATTCGAAGAGATCAGGGACATGGAATGCAGAAAGGATGATGTCATTATTGCAGCATACTCTAAGTCAGGTACTTGTTTTATTTACAGAGAAGAACATTTCTCTAATATTAGAATAGGTTGTAGTGGACATCTGGGTGAAGTGTACTTCAAAAGAACGGGACTTCTCGGGTCTTTCATCTATGAAGGCTTTGCGTAGTCTTGAAACTTAAATCTCATTTTGTGTAAGCTTGGTTGCACCTCATTCTAAACAGTCGAAATATGCATGATTTTACATCTTTCCAAGAGAAAAAGTTCAACAAATTAAGATTAAAAATATTCTCATCTCATATACAGGGTAAGGCCAGCGCGGATCCTGATTTTTTTTTCCGAAAAAGGGGGGGGGGGGTCCACATCAACGCTAGCAAATGTCATACACGGAAATGTTTTGTCCAGCCAAAAGGAAGAAAAAACAAGATGTGTTTGTGAAACACTGATGCCCCCGTATGGCAGCTTATGGCAAAGGTTAAAGTTTTTTAAATAAAAGTCAAAATCCAGGCCAAAAGATAAAAAATGTTGATACCCAAAGAAAGGTCTTGTCTCGAGGAATACACCTGTGAAATTTGAAAGACCTAGATACAACTGTTCAAAAGTTATGGCGAAGGTTAAAGTTTTTTAAATAAAAGTCAAACGTCAAGGTCAAGGTCAAAGTGGTTGGTATCCAAAGGAAGATCTTGTCACAAGGATTACATATGTGAAGTATGAAAGCCCTAGCACCAGCCATTCAAAAGTTATGGCCAAAGTTAAAGTTTTTCAAAAGTAGGTCAAACTCTAGGTCAAGGTCAAAGGGTCAAAGTGGTTGGTATCCAAAGGAAGGTCTTGTCACAAGGATTACATATGTGAAGTATTAAAGCCCTAGCATCAACCATTCAAAAGTTATGGCCAAGGTTAAAGTTTTTCAAAAGTAGGTCAAACTCCTAGGTCAAAGTGGTGGTTGGTATCCAAAGGAAGGTCTTGTCGCAAGGATTACATATGTGAAGTATGAAAGCCCTAGCTCCAACCATTCAAAAGTTATGGCCAAGGTTAAAGTTTTTCAAAAGTAGGTCAAACTCCTAGGTCAAGGTCAAAGGGTCAAAGTGGTTGATATCCAGAGGAAGGTCTTGTCACAAGGAATACACATGTGAAGTTTGAAACCCTAAGCACCAACTGTTCAAAAGTTATGGCCAAGGTTAAAGTTTTTCAAAAGTAGGTCAAACTCCAAGGTCAAGGTCAAAAGGTCAAAGTTGTTGGTATCCAAAGGAAGGCCTTGTTACAAAGAATACACATGTGAAGTTTGAAACCCCAAGCACCAACTGTTCAGAAGTTATGGCCAAGGTTAAAGTCTCATAAAATTTTGCAAAAGTGGGTCAAACTCCAACGTCAAGGTCAAAAGGTCAAATATGATGGTACCCAAAGAAAGGTCTTGTCACAAGGAATACACATGTGAAATATGAAAGTCATAGCTCCAACCAATCAAAAGTTATGGGCAAGGTTAAAGTTGACAACAGACAGACAGACAAACAGACAAACGGACAAACGGACAAACAAACAGACAAACAGACAGACAGGACAAAAACAATATACCCCCGGGATCTTTCGATCCGGGGGCATAAAAACAACTTTCCCAATTCTGAAAACATCGTGGGGTGTAGGATAGGGGTTAGGAGAAGACGCTTTCCTAAGAGGGATCTATGTTTCCTTGGGGGCCCAAAGTCGTTATTTCGTATTTAATAATTCTGAAAATCTAGGGGGTGGGGGTTGGATCCCCCCCCTCTTGAGACGCGCATGGGTAAAACCTATCTTAATGCACTACAGAGTTTTCAATCATTGCCTTAAACGTCGTTATCGAAGTTCATACGATAAAAATCCGATAAATGACTGAGATAGAACAATAAGCAAGGGGCTTATTGGCCACAATTCTTTACTTAAAAAGAATAGTCTAAATGAAATTATAATCTATGGCCCTAACCAAGCCATTTTGAACAATTTAAGTTCGATCCTAAATAACCGGTTAATTATAGTATCATTTATAAGTGAAGCAGTGGTTATGAGAATTGTAGAAAGAATTGATCATCTTCCTGATTTATATTTCTAATTATGCCCGCGTAATCGAAGATTCGGGGGCATATAGTTTTTGCCCTGTCCGTCCGTCTGTCTGTTTGTCTGTTTATCCACAAAAACTTTAACATTGCCCATAACTTTTGATTGGTTGGAGCTATGGCTTTCATATTTCACATGTATATTTCTTGCGACAAGACCTTTCTTTGGGTACCACTATATTTGACCTTTTGACATTGACCTTGGAGTTGACCCAGTTTTGCAAAATTTTACCCTACATTAACATTGGCCATAACAATTGGTGCTAAGACTTTCATGCTTCATATGGTAATTCTTGTGACAAGATCTTCCATTTTGACCCTTTGACCTACTTTTGAAAAACTTTAACCTTGACCATTACTTTTTGGACAGTTAGAGGTAGGGCTTTCATACTTCACATATGTCATTCTTGTGACAAGACCTTTCTTTGGATACCAACAACTTTGACCCTTTGACCTTGGAGTTAGACCTACTTTTGGAAAACTTTTACCTTGGCCATAACTTTTGAACAGTTGGTGCTAGGGTTTTTTTTACTTCACATGTGTATTCCTTGTGACAAGACCTTCCTTTGGATACCAACAATTATAACTCATTGACCTTGACCTTGGAGTTTGACCTACTTTTGAAAAAAAACTTTAACCTTGGTCATTACTTTTGAATAGTTCGTGCTAGGCCTTTCATATTCACATTTGTATTCCTTGTGACAAGACCTTACTTTGGATACCAACATTTTGACCCTTTGACCTTGGCCTTGGAGTTTGACCTACTTTTGAAAAACTTTAACCTTGGCCCTAACTTTTGAATGGGTGGTGCTAGGGCTTTCATATCTCACATGTGTATTTCTTGTGAGAAGGTCTTTCCTTGGGCACCATTAATTTTGACCATTTGACATTGACCTTGATGTTTGACTTACTTTCGAACAACTTAAACCTTTTCCATATCTATTCAATGGTTGCTGCTAGGGTTCTCATGTTTAACAGGTACATGTATATTAATTTAAACTAATCTTACTCTGGGTAACATATTTGATTTGCATTTGAGAAAGTTTAACCTTTGCTATAAGTTGCCATACGGGGGCGTCAGTGTTTCACAAACACATCTTGTTAATTGAACTGTTATAATCTCATATTTAAGCATGTCTTTTAGATAAATGAAATTTGTTGTATTTCTTCTATAATAGGAACCCATTGGATTTGGGAAATAGTTTGCATGCTTCTAAAAGGCAGAGCTGAATATGCTAAAGAAACGAAAGAATTTCTGTTCTTGGAAGCTATTCCGGACATGAGTGTTGTTCATAACCTAGCCTCTCCAAGGCCGCTTAATACGCATTTTCCCTACCGTTGGTTACCGAAACAACATGTGCAAAATGGTGGGAAAATTGTACATATCATCCGGAATCCCAAAGATGTTGCGGTTTCACTGTATCATCAACTCTTACAGAGTGGCTTATTTAATGACTTCAACTTTAAAACGTTTCTGGATCAAATGTTCCTAGGTCCAGGTAAAGTTTTAGAATATCATAATGGGCAACTTTTTTGCACAGGCCCTCTGATTGTCCAATCATTATTTGTGATAAATTCTTCGAAATTCCAAAATTTGAATGATTTCAGGAAAACTTCAAAAGAGCAAATAAGTATGGGATCCAGAGAATTTTGTTGAAAAGCCCACATACATATGTACTAACTGATTTTTGTTTTTTTTATATTGTATTTTTAACGGATACCCTTTACATTTCTTTGGTCCAATATATTTTTCTAGTATATTTTCCTCCTGTTTTGAAGTTTTGATTATTATTTTTTCCAGCATGTCCCTTTGGCACTTGGTTCAAATACGAGAGAGAATTTGAAGAAGCCGAAAAGAACGACAAATTCGGCTCAATACACACAATTCACTATGAGAATATGAAAAAGGTATAACTGTATTTATATATTTAAGTTATAGACGCCTACTTTTTTTCTCGAAACAATCCTTGACAAATGATGTTTGTTTTCTTTTAATCATTTTGATAACTGACCAACACCAGTTGAATGAGACCAAGATCTAAATTTTTATTAAGAGATTAAGAATTATATTGATTTTTACGACTCATTTTTTGAAAGATTGTTACAGTTCTTTTCAATGCAATGCCTGAACAATGAAAATGTTACATTTCTTTTCAATGCATTGACTAAACAATGAAAGTATTTATTTTTGTTTAAATAATTTTGAATATTGATCAAACAAATTGAATAAGATTTAGAATTTTAGGTTTTAATAGGAGGATAAGAATCCAATCGATTTTAAGACTTATTTGCGATTCACCATAATTATTTATATACATGTAATGAAAAACCCTTGCAACTCCCCCCCCCCCCCCAAAAAAAAAATCAAATAAATTATTTTTTGATCGATATGCAGAACCCAGAAGAGGAAACAAGAAAATTAGCCCAATTCTTGGAAGTGAACACAACTGAGGAACTAATAGCAGAAATTGTAGATAAATGTAGCTTTGATAAGCTCAAACAGATTGACAGCTCATTTAAAGACCAATCACATTTAAAGAGGGTTATTGGAGCAGAAGGCATAAAAGTGCCAGATATATATCGCAAAGGTAAGTGACTGATCAATTTCTAAACATATTGAGATTGTTTTAAAATCATCATCAAATAATGGAACTAAGAAAAACTGCTGTTTAACTAGTCCTAATTCTTTTCCAGGAAAGATTGGAGATTGGAAGAACCATTTCACGGTGGCTTTAAATGAACAGTTCGATGATATTTTCAAAGAAGAAATGAAAGACTCCTCAATTCAAGTACAGTTTGAATAAAAATATTCTTTAACTGAAAAGAAGATGGTAATCATGATCTATAGTATGAGAATTCAACCTTGCATCTCAATTCCGAAACTGTTTGTACATTTGACCCCGCATCTCAAACCTGATTGTTTGTACATTTGTCCTCGCATCTCAAACCTGAATTCTTTGTACATTTGACCTTACTTCTCAAACCTAAATTCTTTATATACATTTGACGTCACATCTTAAACTTAATTGTACATTTGAAATGTAATTAGCTTAATCTTATTACGTAGATGATTAAAACACGAGAGATTTTGTATATTTTTTTTTAACCTAGAAAATTTATCGATTTTGAAACTTGATAAATTTAATTATCAGATTTAATTTTATAAAAATATAGTGTCTACAGAATGTCGATATACTGGCGAGTGCAAAATGTGTTCCAGTATACCTGGTTGAGAATTTATGAAAAGGAATTACGGTAAGATGAGAATTTCTAGACGAAATGGAAACTTGGCGTTTGTGATTTAATTAATCACAGTAATGTTGTTATTTTTAATTAATAAGCTATAATGCAAAATACAGAGTGTCTATATTCGTGTCCTTCTTAATTTTATTATAATATACTGGTGATCATGTAACGGCATGTTCAGGTAGTATGATGTAGATTTCCACTGGAATTGTGAAAAGATTTTTTTCGAAAATCAGGGACATATAAGATTTCCAGTAACTGAGGAAGGGCAGCAAAATAAAAACAAAATGTTTTGACAAGGTAATTGTGCCGTGGCCTCTCTCGGATCGGCTTTGTCAGACAACAAACAGGTAGAGTCCCCAGAGGCTAGTTTTTGGGAGACAGTGGTTATCCGCTAGGCTAATGATCCCTGCCTAAGACTTAAGCAGTGCTATAGGCAAAAATCTGCATACAAATCAAAGAAGCACACAAGGAAGCCAGAGATGTAGCAGAGAGAGAGAGAGAGAGAGAGAGAGAGTGATGCTACGATTATGGATGATAGGTTTTCAGTGTATTGAGTTGTTTGTTGGTACACCACTTCAGACCAGAAAGAATCTGCAAAATTATAACATCTATCACCATTGCACGATATACATGTATGCACAGAAAATAACAAGGTTAACGTCAGTCTAATTTGTTTTCCTGAATTGTATGATTGGCATTTGGCAATATTTACACATTTGAAGTTGCGTGTACCAAAAAAAAATATAGAATGTATACAAAAAGTATTGTAACACATTGTGCTAGAATCAAATACCATGCGAGATTTGTATGAGCGTATCTATAGTGGCTAGATTTGAGTGGACTGGGTTACGGAGTTGTAACCCACTCTTTAAATTTGCTAGCCTATAGGAAAAAAAAATCCCTTCTGGCCAAGTGCGTCTTTCCTATGAACACATTAAGCGTTCTTGCTGTCTGATACGAGGGTTAAAAATATAAAAAGGATTTGTAGGGAAAAAAAAGGGAAAAGAAATCTTTTTTCACTTTCACATGTGCATTGTAATGCAGATTATACATGTATCTATAATGATCAAGGGAGGGGAGTATATTGCCAGTATTTCTATCACAATCGTAGGGCACTATTAGAATTTTTGTATGTCCCCGAGATCGAAGGTCGGGGAAATATTGATTTAGTCTCGTTTCTCTTTCTGTCCTACAGTCACTCAGCCACAAAATTTAACTTAATTTCCTTGAATGTATTGAAGGAAAGAAGTTATTTTGGTGAATTTATAGATATGTATGACGGCTGAAATATTATTTACTCAGATCTTAACTTTTGCCCGTTTTAGGGCCATTATAATGTAAAACACTAAACCCCCTTTCCTTCGGAGCGGGGTTATTAATATTCATGTAATAAATAAGGGTGAATGAACCTAAAAGAGGGAAAAAAGATATAACATGATTTTAAATATGAAGTAGTAATACAGTAAATGATAGCATCTCCATTTTTATTTTCTTTTGTTAAAAAGTTTTACTGCAATACCTTTATGAATCAATGCATTGGTGTATCCAGAAACTGATAAAAGGTGGGGGTAGGTTGAAAGCGGACACGAATTTAAAGATAGAAGTATGGGGCCTAAAACATGCCCTTAAAATGATTTGTGATAACATTCCTACAGGTATATCCTTGTCAGTATGATTCTCCCTATTTTTGCTCCTGTCATATAAATAAACTCTGCGGGCATTAATTTTTTTTTTTTTTGGCTTCTTAAGGAATTTCGAATTTCTAACATATGTTCGCTCCCCCCCCCCCCCGGTTCTTTTCATAACTTAAATTCTTCATTCAGACTAAGAATTGAATACTTGTTTCAAATGTTTTTACGATTTACAAACTTTATCTCTGTAATGTTACATGGCTTGAGGAGGGCGCTATGCGTGAAAGAGGCAACCTTGTAACAAGTTTTAAGCACACATTTTGCATGACTATCTTTTTATTTAAATGGCTCTACTGCTTAATTGAATGATTGTAATTTTCCCTGAAGTATGGCTAAGGCCTGTTATAAGGTGAACATTTACTCAAATTACACTGATGGCCCAACGGTTAATCATTTAACACTATCCATTCAAAAAACGTTAAGTGGAAATCTATGGTTAGTAGAGTAGAACCATGCAACAAGCAAAGGTTACATATAGGTTTATTAACAGTACGCATTTGAATAAAGCACCAAACGAACATTTATATGCAATGAGAAAATATGACATACCAGGTAATGCGTAGAACAACGAGAGAGTTATGGTGTAAATGCATTTTGACTTACATTCAACACAATGACACGATGTCTGAACAGGACAAAGATTATAAAAATATAAGATTTAAGTAAAATGAATGCTTACAAGGAAAAGGGATAGTGGATGTCAAACCCAAATTACATACTTGGTCAAGTAAAGAATATTTTATAGACCTCCTCTCAGCATGTGGATAATTTAGGGCATCAGCCGCATATCTACTTTTCATAACTATCCAACAGGGATTTGAAGCCGACATATCATCTTCCTTGCATGTTAGTAAACATATAAGTATTGTTCTTCAGGCATATAAAATTCTTCATCATTAAATACGCAAACAAACAACACAATGATCTAATTGTGAACTGGGAAGCAATATTTTCTGTTGTGTGAAGTTATCGCCCCTATAATTTTAAATTGCATTCATTTTTTGCACAAATAAACAATTCTGCTAAATCCGTTTTAAGGTAAATAGATCAAGAATAAATATTTTATAATTTCTTTTAAAATCTCGATAAGAATTTTCTCTTTGTTATAGAATAAGTATTTTACCCATTATTTTTAATTGAAAATAAACTATGAAACATCTATGTGTTTTGCATATATATAGTTTATTTCACTGATCTATCAAAAAGTAACTGAGTCAGACGGACAAGAATTAAATAAAGAGAGAGAATGAGAGTGGGGAGAGAGAGGATGAGAGTGGGGAGAGAGAGAGAGGATGAGTGTGGGGGGAGAGAGAGGGTGGATCAGTGTGGGGGGAGACAGAGAGGGTGAGTGTGGAGAGAGAGGATGGGGAGAGAGAGAGTGGGTGGGGAGAGGGTGAGTGTGGGGAGAGAGAGGGTGGATGTGAGTGGGGAGAGAGAAAGGATGAGTGTGGGGAGAGAGTGAGGATGAGAGTGGGGAGGATGAGTGTGGGGAGAGAGGATGAGTGTGTGGAGAGTGAGTATGGGGAAAGAAAGAGAATGAGTGTTGGGGAGAGATTGAGAGTAGGGAGAGAGTGAGAGAGAGAAAAAGGAGTGGAATAGAAAGAGTGGGGGAAGACAGAATGTAGGTAAAGAGTGGTGGGAGAGAGAAAAAGTACCTGAAATCGATTCAGTTTTATATTTATTGTTTGTTTGTATGTTGTTTAACGTCCTTCTCGAGATTTTTTCACTCATATGGAGACGCCACCACTTGCCGGTGGAGAGCTGCAAATTTTGTCCTATACTCGGCACTTACGGCCATTGAGCATGAGGGATCTTTTTCGTGCCAGCACCTACTGCGACACGGGACCTCGGTTTATACGGTCTCATCCGAAGGACCGGTCTCCACGTCCCACAGTGGGATTCGAACCCGCGACGTAAGGATCAACTCCTTACGCCGCGACTCTAGAGCAGACGCTCTAACCACTGCGCCACGTGGGCGACCAGTTTTATATTTAAGATATGTAAATATTTTTGAACATACAACTGGGTTGACTTTTGAGTTTTTTTTTGTATTTTTGATATTGAAGACTTTGCTTCTCCGGTGTGGGTACTTCAAAATTTACTCTTATTTTGACCCTCTTGATATCATACTTGAATATTGCGTCTACTTGTATAAAACAAGATATTTAACTTGAATGTATTGCAAGTTAACAATCATGTTTTCCAGTATCTATATATACAGCCGCGCAATTCACAAGTCTACAAAAGTAAAGTCTACAAGTTTGTCGAATTTTGATAATGAGTTTAAATTTTCCAATATTTTATATCATTTTCTTAATGTCATTTTATTTGACGATATTTAACGATTAGCAGGTTCCAGTAAAAGTTCTAGCAAGCCTCTTTCTTTACTATTCACCAAAATATTAACAGCAGTGAAGGAGAAACTTCAGGAGTACTGAGCGACAATATATTCGAGAATACTTAAAAACTCCAAGGAACCTGTGGAAAATTTTAAATCACAAAATTTTACCAAAATCAATAACATAAAAAACTTTTCAACTCTATATATAACCATTCCCCACGATGAATTAAAGTCCAGGCTTTTTGACATCATTGACAGCTGCTTTTTCAATAGAAATGGAACTCGTAAATTTACTTACCTTGTAATTGGTCATTTGCAAAATTTTGTTTAAAAACATTCTGATATTGTAAACACAAGTACTCTGAAGTTAATATTGGAAAAAGATGCTAGAGTTTCTGATTGACAATATCTATGTGGTTTTTGAAGACCAGGTCTTCCAACAATCTGTTGGAATTCCCATGGGTATCAATTCCGCCCCGTTATTAACAGACTTATTTTTGTATTCATATGAAGCAGAATTTATTCAAAATCTTATACATGAGAAAAAGATATCTCTTGCTGTGGCCTTGCTGTGGTATTATCAATTAACAATAGTTATTTCCATTCATATGTCGACACGATATATCCCAACGAGCTTGAAATTAAAGATACCACAAATTCTGACACATCTGTTTCATACTTGGATATTTTACTAGAAAAAGACGTTAATGGTAACTTAACAACAAAGCTTCATGATAAACGTGATGACATTAACTTTTCAACTGACACCTCCCCTTCTTATGCAGCAATATATCCTTATCAACTGCATTCAGGGTTTATATCTCTTAATTGATTCGTTACGCAAGAGCATGCTCTACGTAAGAACAATTTCAAACGAGGTAAGTTATTGTCAAACAAGTTGATGACACAAGAATATCAACAGTCTCGTTTAAAGTCATCATTTCTTAATTATAAGTTCTATGCTCGATACAATGACCTTATCAGCAAAAACAATCTATCATTAAGTCAAATGCTGACTGACATTTTCATACCAATTTTTAGGTCATTATTTACAAACTGAATCGTCGATGGATTTTTCCGTTTTTTCC